ATACCCACCAAAACAATTATGGAAGACATGCAAAACTAAATGCTTTACAGGGACCCAGAGTGCGATCCAGAGGCCCTGCCTGGGTCTAGTGAGGAAGAATATCTGCGACCTGATGTGCACTTTTATTCAATACATCAACACCATCTTGGAGACAAAAACCGAAGACAAGGATTCCCACCACACCCATACACGTGTGAGAATTGTCTGGGAAGCTTTGAAAACAGTGGTGCTGAGGCCACACTCATAATGAATGACAGAACTATCTGAAGATGTTATGTTCAAAAGCCTGTTTTAAGAGGTTTCCAGGGGCTAGTGAGATGGCTCAGAGGGTAACGGTGTTTGCCACCAACCTTGATGATCTGAGTTCCATCCCTAGTATCTACCCAGTAGAAGGAGAAAATGAACTCCCACAAGTTGTCTCTGACTGCCACACTCATGTACACACATATAAACATACAAACGAGTGTCATGAAAGGTCCTTCGGTGATTTGTGTGCAACCAAGGCTGAAAGTTAGGGGTTCTGTAACTCGAGTGTGCATCAGCCATCACCAGCAAGTGATGGTAAAACACAGATCTCTGGATGCCAGCCCCAGAGTAACTAATTCAGCTGAATGAAGTCTAAAAGTCTATGCTTCTAACTGGCTCAAGTGATGCCAAAGCTGCTGGTCCAAAGAACACACTGGAAAAGTAAAGCCCCATCTAGTGTACTGGTGCTCAGCTTTGGCAGCATATTAGAATCACAAAATGTATGGAGGGTACATGTTAAGAATAGTAATACCTGATGTCCCAACCCAGGGAAATTGATAAAGGATACCAACTGAAGGTTTTTAACCATAAATAAAAATACGTTTAAAGTTTGCAGGCAAGTGAGTGTTGGGCAGATTAAGTCAGTCTTGGAAAGACAAATACCATGTTTTCTGCACATGTGATTCATAAAGTTTAAATATATATACAATTAGATATGACCTAAAAGTAGAATCGAGAACTGTCTAGGTGATGAAAAGAAAAAGAAACTAACATGAATGGAGTGAGGAGGCTTTGCAGGGGGAAGAGATGGCCAGTGTATACGTGTATTTTTAAATGAAGATGTCCTTATGTAATGGTACCATATACGCTGTATAAAGACAAAGTTGTTAAAGAAATCTCCAAGAGCAATAGCCCAAATAGCAAAAGAACCCAAAAGAACTAAAACATTTTTAAAAAACAAAAAGAAAACATCCTTATGAAATACAAGCTGTCTAATAACTATGTGCTATGAAAAAATGTAAAGGAAGAAAAGAAGGCTGATCCCTGGGCCTTTCCCCGCAACAATGAATCTGTGTGTAGTCCAGACTGGCCTTGAGCTCACAGCTAGTCTGCTGCATTCGTCTTTCAAGTTACTGGGATTACAGGCATAAGCATCGAAACCCAGATCCCTTCTAATGTTTTTAAGTGAGTATGTACTGTCCTGTGTAGTGTGTGTATTTCTGTATACAATGTTGTCTTGACATCTTGATTAACCTTGTGGCTAAAGATTCTACCAGTCCCCGCAGGGCTAGTCAATTTGTGGAGACAGAAAGGGCTGAGCCCAAAGCTATGTTAGTCAGCATTCCATCACTGAAACGTGATTCCTAAGATAAACAACTTGAAAGCTTGTTTTAGCTCACATTTCTGGTCCACGGCCATTTAGCCCATTGCTTTTGGGCTGGTAGCAAGTCACATCAGCAGGACAAAGGAACATATGGTAGAGAAAAAGCTTGTCACTCCATGATAGCCAGGAAGTAAAGAGAGGGAGAGGAAAGGAGCAGGATCCCAATATCCCTATCAATGATCTAACTTCCTTCCATGAGATCACCGGTTCTCAAGCTGCGGGTCACAGTCCCTTTGGGATCAAATAACCCTTTCACAAAGGTGGCATATCAGATATTTACATTATGATCCATAACAGTAGCAAAATTGCAGTTATGAAGTAGCAATGAAAATAATGTTGGGGGGTTCACCAAAACATGAGGAACTGTATACTAAAGGGTTGCAGAATTAGGAAGGTTGAGAACCATTGCACTAGACCCTACCACCTAAAAGTTCCATGACCTCCCAATGGTGCCACAGGCGAAGAACAAGCTTTTGACACTTGAGCCTTCAGGAACATTTCCAGGTCTAAACAACAATATCTCTGGAGAATAAAACAACCATTTTAGATCATACTTCCTGCAACCACGCCGAATATCCAGAAAGGCAACACTCTTCTACCTTTAGCGTCCCAGGCCACGTGGCAGACACTAGAGGCCACCCCTATAGCTGAAAGACCTGCCAAAACTGTTCAAACTAGTTGGACATAAACTGCTGTCACTTCTCCACCTTTCCTGAGGAAAACCCAAAGAATAACACTGCCTAACCCTTTCCCTCCTATCTGCCTTCTGCCTGCTGATGATTCTGGTGTCTTCCCTAGGTAGACCTGTGGCAAACTTCATACTCTAGCACGATGAATGTATACTATGCTGTGTTCTTGAACTTCCATGTCTCTTCTTGCTGCCGCACCTATCTCCGAAAGTAATGTACAACATTAGTTGTGAGTAGTGGCACATAGTCATAATATAATTCAATATAATATGAGGGGTAAAGATCAGCCTTAGCTACATAAGGAGTCTGAGGCCAGCCTTGGGCTAATTGAAACCTTGATTCAAAACACCAACAAAGCACGCTGGAAATGAACCTCTATTGATAAGAGTATTTGCTTAGCATGGGCAAAGCCCTGGGTTCAATTTTCCAGCATACATGAAAATGAAACAGAACTCAGGAGACAGAAGCAGGATGACTAGAAGCTAAAGGCCATTCTTGGCTGTATTGTGTGGAAGACAACCTGGAATACATGACATCCTATGGTGGTCTGAATGACAAAATCCCCCATAGGCATAGATTTGTATGCTCAGTCCCAGAGGCTGCACAGCCCAGAGACCTAGAATAGAACCAAAGATGACTGGCAAAAAGTCACAGTGATGATGTCTAATGACAGTCTGCTATACTTGCTGCCTAGACCAATGGTCATCAGAGAGGCTTCACCCAGAAACTAGCGGGAACAGACGCAGAGACCAACAGCCAAACATTAGGCAGACCTTGGGAAATCCCGTTAAGAGGGAGAGGAAGGATTGTAGGAGTCAGAGGGGTCAAGGACACGACAAGAAAACACACAGAATCAACTAACCTAGGCTCACAGGGGCTCACAGAGACTGAACTGACAACCAGGGAGCTTGAGTGGGACTGACCTAGACTCTCTGCACATCTGTTACAGTTGTGTGGCTTGGTCTTCTTGTGGGACTCCTAACAGGAGCAGGGACTGTCTGGCTGCTACCTGCTTTTGGAGACCCTTTCCTCCTACTGGGTTGCCTTGTCTAGCCTTAATAGGCGAAGAGGTGTCTAGTCCTACTGCAATTTGATATGTCAGGGCTGGCTGATATACATGGGAGGCTGTCCTTTTCTAAAGAGAAAGGAGGAATACTAGATAGGGGAGGGTATTAGGTAAGGATTTGGAAGGAAAGGAGGGAGGGAAAACTGATGGGGCTGGGAAATAAATAAATAAGAAAGAAAGAAAGGAAGGAAGGAAGGAAGGAAGGAAGGAAGGAAGGAAGGTACAGCCTTGTTGGAGAAGGTGTGTCACTGGGAGGGGCCTTGAGCTACTGCTCTGGAACCTTGCCTTCCGTTGTACCACCATGATGATAATGGGCTAACCCTTCGTAACTGCACGCAAGCCCCCACTTAAATGCTTTCTTTTACAAGGGTAGCCTTGTTCATGGTGTCTCTTCACAGAAAGAGAACACTAAGACAGACGCTACCGCAAAAATATACAATATTTTTTATAAGTTTTAACAGCTATCTTCTTTTGAGAAGCAGTCTGCTTTCAGAGCATTTAGAACTAAGACACATTTTAATTACCTGTTGAGCTGATTATTATGTTGTAAGTCTGGCCACACATGCTAACTTCCTTGGCTTCCAACCATGAGTATTCAAAATATATAGCATAAATGGCTTGGCAACCACCCAAGGACAATTCCAGAATTGAAAAGTTCATGGACTACAGATGAGTGAATACAGTTGGCCTCAATATCCACTTTATTATAGTGTGTACTGGATTACTAGAGGCTTCTGACTCTACCTTCCCCCACAACACTCAGCACAATCAGAAGTATTCAGCCCCTACTTTGAGAGTTTCTTAACCCTTCTGGGTATCTCTACTGACCAATTCTCCTTCTACAGGTAAGAAATAAATGGTGCTACTGCTCCTAGAAATAACCACATTTTCTTTTTAATTTTTTAGAAAACTATTTTGTTAATTATGTATATTTGCATGTGGGTGAGTATGGGTTTGTGCATGTGAGCGAGTGTCCATGGAGGTCAGAATAAGGTATCGGATCCCCTGGCCTACAGTTACAGGCAGTTGTGAGCAGCCTGTCGTGGGTACCAGCAATCAAATTTAGGAATTCTGCAAGAGCTATATGTGCCTGGGTGATGCTGAGCCGTTTCTTCTGCCCTGGACATAAGCACATTATTAAAGGACATTTTAGAAGTGTCAAAGTCTAGACAACCTAACTGCCCTGTAATCGCTACATAACATTGTCTGCTTTTGTGTGTATGTAGTGTGTGTGTGTGTATGTATATGTGAATGTGTGTATGTATGTATTGTGTATGTATGTACCTGTGACTACACTTGTAGAGGCCAGCAGTTGATAAACATTTTCCAACTCCTTTTTTTGAGAAAGGGTCTCTCACTGAAGCTGGAGCTCACTTCTTAGCTAGACTGGCTGGTCAGGAAAGCTCTCAGGATCCCCCTGTCTCCAGTTCCTAGCACTGGAAGAACAGACCTGTTATTTAAATGTGAATGCTGGACTCGAAACTCAGGTACTTGTGTATGCGCAATAAGCAAGTGACCTACTTAGCTTCCCCACCCCGCCCTTTTTTTCCCCAAGACAGAGTTTCTCTGTGTAGCTTTGGAGCCTATTCTGCAACTCACTCTGTGGATGAGGTTGGCCTTGAACTTACAGAGATCCACCTGCCTCTGTCTCCCAGTGCTGGAATTAAAGGCATGTACCACCACCGCCTGGCTCCCTAGCCCCTTCTTCTGCTTTGTAAGAAATCCAAGGAGTTTGGTGCGTTCAAAGCTAGACAAATATGGGTAATCCCAAAGAAATATGACAAGCTATAGTTCAATCCACCTCAGAGGAGGCCAGCTAAACTCTTGCTGGGGATACAAAGACTGGTTTCCTGGGAGACACATCCATGGTCTCCAATGCAGCAACAGGCCAAACCTGATGACGTCCCTGAAACTTCAGCCGTAGCAGCCTGCAGTCTCCTAGCCTTATCGAGTGAAGAGTAGTACCAGTTCACAGTGTGGGGTGTGCGGAAACAAATCCACGGGTACAGCTTCTCTCAGGACAAAGGGTTCACCGAGGAGCTTCTTAGCAGAGTTTGGAGGACAGCACAGCCTGTAGAAAGAGACCATAGGATCAGTTCACAGAAAAAAGAGAAGCAACTACCAGACTTATAATTGAAGTTCTTCCTCTGTAGTCACACAGGCCCATGTGTCTGGCATCTCCATGACTCATTATTTCCATGTAACTGTTTTGCTTAGCCATCTTCCTCACTAAAGTACAAATGTTCAACTTACAGTGAGGTTATGGCCCAACAAACCCATTGCAAGCCAAAAATACTAAATCAAAATGCATCTAAAGGACTGCGAACATGCTTTGGTTGTCAAAGTATCTGAGTTCGATGCCCAAAATCCATGTAAAAATGTAAAGTGCGTTGGCATATGCTTGCAAACCAGTTCTAGGGGGTGCAAAACCAAGTAGATCCCTGGGGCTCACTGCTGGCCAGCCTAACCTCCTGGGTGAAATCCAGGCCGGTGAGAGAGTCCTGTCTCAAAACCCAAGGCAAATGGACCCTGGGGAAACAACACCTCTAGGTTGTCCTTTGGTGCATAAACACATGCATCCAAGTAGCTGGGGTAAATCTCAGTCTCTGAGTTAGAGCATATGATTAGCATGTACAAATTTCTGGATTTCAACCCTATACATATATAGATTATATATAATTTACATGTGGATGTAAGGTATATATTGTCAAACATCACGGCTTACATTCATAAGACCCTGAGACAGGTACCCACTAAACTCTCCTAAAAAGGTTGTTCCAATTTCTACCAATTCTTTTATAGTTTTACACTATCAGACTTTTTTTTACCATATGTACACAGTATCTTGCTGAAATTGAAACTGCTTTCCCTTTTTGAGGACATGTTTAGTAATTTTCTCAGTGTGATATCTGAATTCTAGGTTTAATCTTAACTACTGCATTTTAAAATTCACTGTTATTATATATAATGTGCAGTATAATGAATACTTTCATTTGAGTCAAAATGGAATAACATTTAGAGGTGCACAAGGTAATCTCCTTTGCCATCTCTCATATGTCCCCAGTTCTTTCTTTTTAAAATATTTTTAGATTTATGTAATTTTCATGTGTATGAGTGTTTTGCTTGTATGTATGTATATACACAACATGAGTGCCTGGTGTCTGGGGAAGTCAGAAAAGGGCACCAGGTCATCAGAAATTGGAGTTGCCCATGGTTATGAACCACCACATGGGCATTGAAAACCAAACTCGAGTCCCTCTGCAGGAGCTCAAGTGCTCTTAGCCCCTTAGCCAGTTCTACAGCCCTGTTCCCAGTTCTTTCTAGACAGAGACAATTAATTGTTATTAGGGTCTATTTCTGAAGGGGGGGTCTTTCCATTAATTCATTTTTAAAGAAAACATACAAAGCGATGGGCTTCCTTGAGGTATTTTCATTCACTTATATCATATCATTCTCATTAATTTTTTTCCTCCTCCACCCTTCCTTGTGCTTCCTGCCTTTCTGACTGAGTCTCTTCCTTCCCCCAGGGAGCTCCCTCTTCCACTTACCATAGTCCCTTAAGATTCCCTTGCTATTTTATATTCTATACCCAAACTCACACATACATGCACAAATGTTTATAATGTAGACTCCATGTATAAGAGAAAACATTTAGCATTTGTCTTCCTAAGTTTGTCTTATTTCACTTAACATAATAATATGCAGTAATCAATTTTCCTGCAAATGTGATTTCATTCTTCAAGATTTACCCTTTCATCATGTATATATGTGTGTGGTGCATGTAAGTGCACACACATGCAAGCATGCATGTGAACACATGCAAGCACATGCATGTGAATAGCTGCCCAAGGAAGCCAGAGGTGTTCGAGTCCCCTGGAGCTGAAGTCACAGGTGGTGATAAGCTGCCTATTGTGGGTGCAGGTGATGAAAGGCAGCTCCTCTGCAAAAGCGGTACATTCTCGTAACTGCAGAACCATCTTTGTAGCCTCAATTTAACTGCTCATTATCAGTGTCTCATATAACTGACTAGAGTCTCTCTATGAAAGTATAAGCAAGCACAAATGCACATGCTTCTCATCCTTCAAATTAACCTAGTATATGAACAATTCTATACCTTACTAGTTCTAGTTAGTGACAACCTTATCTCAGAACTTAAATCAAAAGCCACAAAAATATACTTGACTGTACTTCAAAAGATACTATTGAGCCATGTATTGTAGTGCACATCTTTAATCCCAGCACTCAGAGGCAGAGGCAGGCAGAACTCTGTGAGTTTGAGGCCAGCCCAGTCTACAAAGCAAACTCTAGGATAGCCAGAGCTACACAGTGAGACAATGTCTCAAGAAGACAGATGGAGAAGGAGGACGAGGAGAAGGGAGAGGAGGCAGAGGAAGAAGAGGAAGAGGAGGAGGAATTGGGGATGTAGCTCCACAGCAGTGGAGTACTCACTGGCTTGTGTGAGGCGCTGGATTTGATATCTAGCAATGCCCATGAACACAAACAGAGACATGTACACAGAAAACAAAGAGAGAACAAGCAGAGAGGGATTTCTCCAACTCATATACTTGACATGGAACTTCTATCAAACATACAGAAGAATTCTAAAAACTCAACAGTAGAAAGTCAACCCAGTTAAAGATGGACGTAAGATCTCAATCTTGTATTAACTAGCAAATATCTCAAGGTTTACAGCTGACTAAAAGGGGAGCTGGAAAAATAGCTCCTTTGGCAGACTGCTAATCTAGCCTGCACAAAGACCTGGGCTCAATCCTCGGCACTTCATAACCATATTCAATGGTGCATGCCGGTAATCCTAGCACGAAGGAGATGAAGACAGGGGATCACAAACTCAAGGTCAATCTGGGCTATCATTGAATGCATGAGACCCTATCTCCAAAGAAAAATGCAAAAAGATATATTAAAAAAACAAAACTCTTGGCCTAGCGATGGTGGCTCACGCCTTTAATCCCAGCACTCAGGAGGCAGAGGCAGGTTTGGTCTACAGAGTGAGTTCTAGGACAGGCAGGTACTTGGAGAAACCCTATCTTGAAAATACAAAAACAAACAAACAAAAAGAACCATTCAAAAACCTTTAGTCATTGGGGAAATGAAAAGAAAAGCCACAATGATATACTGAATTGCCATCTTAAGGGGAAAAAAGGCAGCAACCAGAGCTTAGGATATACCTCACTGGAAGAATACCTGCCGACTAGGACACAAGTGGTCCTGGGAGTCATTGCCAGCACGGCAAAATTTTTTTTTTAAAGTCAATAACGAGACTTTGTGAAGGTACAGGAGAAATATAGAGAAAGTGGAATACTACTGTTGGTACAATAAGGCAGCTGTTTGAAAACCAAGCGAATCTCCTCAAAGGGTTCAACTAGTTTCCATTATGGGCCAGCAATTCCCCTCCCAGGTCTTTCTCAAAGAAAAATGAAAGAAAAACTTGCACGTGAATATTCATTGCAGTGTTATTTATAAAAGCCATCAACCCATGAGCAGATAAGTAAGAGACAAATATACATACAATATTATTCCCTTTTAAGGCCAAAAAAAAGAAAATGAAAGACCAATAAATGTTTAAACACAGATGAACATCACACACATTATGCTAAGTGAAAGATGCACACAGTACATGACACAATTCAATTCAATGAAATGCCAGGTAAAGCCTTAAACACATTATGGGCTGCCTAAGGTCAGACAGCAGGGGTGGAGCTATGCACTGATACTAAAAGGCACAGGTTTGGTTTTTTTTTTTTGAGATGACAAAAACAATCTGGACTTAGGTGGTGATAATGGCTGCATGAGTTTGAAAACAAACCAACCACAACTCATTGAACTGTATACTTAAACATAAAAGCTATCCCGTCAGTGTTAGCGGACACTTTTAATCCCAGCACTCAAGAGGCAGAGGCAGATGGATCTCTGTGAGTTCGAGGTCAGCCTGGTCTACAGATCAGATTCTAGGACAGTCAGAGTGGAACACAGAGAAACACTGTCTAGAAAAAACAAAAACAAAAAAAGCAAAAATGAGAGAGAGAGAGATTGATTGATTGATTATGGTTTATATATATGGGTGTTTTGCCTACATGTATGTCAGAGGGATGGAGGCCAGCAGAACAAGGCCCTCTGAATTGACTAAGTAAGGCACATATGAGCTCACACAGACTGAAGCAGTAAGCTTGGGGTCTGTTTTTTTTTTTTTTGTTTGTTTGCTTGTTTGTTGAGACAGGGTTTCCCTGTAGCTTGGAGCCTGTCCTGGAACTTGCTCTTGTAGACAAGGCTGGCCTTGAACTCACAGAGATCTGCTTGCCTCTGCCCCTAGAGTGCTGGGATTAAAGACCTGTGCCACCACCGCCCAGCTGCCTGCTTGGATCTGTACCAGGTCCTCTGCTATCAGCTTCGTGTTTTGATGGGGCTCCTGACTGGGAGAACTAGTGTATCTCTGGCTCCTGGGCCTGCTCTTGAGACTTTTCCTCCTGTTGGGTTGTCATGTCCAACTTTGATATGATAGTCTTTGCTTCATCTTTTTATATTTTATTTTGCCATGTTTTGTGGTTATCTCTTAGAAGCCTGTTCTTTTCTAATGAGACAGAAAGGGAACAGATCCAGATGGAAGGGGAGGAGGGAGGAACTGGAAGGAGTACATAGAGGGAAACTATAATCAGGATATATTGTATGAGAAAAGAACCTATTTTCAATTTTAAAAAAAGGCTTGTTTTAGTTTATGTGTGTGGGTGTTTTTATTTTGGTAAAATACATGTAACACGGAGGGTGTGGTGGTGCATGCCTTTAATCCCAGTACTTGGAAGTCAGAGGCAAGCAGATCTCTGTGAGTTGGAGGCCAGCCTGGTCTACAAGAGCCAGGGCAGGCTCCAAAGCTACACAGAAAAACCCTGTCTCAATCCCCCCAGCCCTCTCCCAGCCAAAAAAAAATATATATATGTAACATGAATTTTAAGCACTTTTAAATATATTTTATTTTTTGAGACATGGTCTCATTATGTAGCTCTAGAACTCAGTATGTAAACCAGGCTGGCCTCAAATTCACAGAGATCTGCCTGCCAC